CTCATGCATAGTTTGTAATACAGATCTTGTCAAAAGGTTGACGTTTCCATATCATTTAAGAGGCTTTGAATACATGATGATGAAATAAAAGGACTGATGATCCAAAACAACAAGAAGAAAATGTCAAGTCTTTTATTCATCAGACAACAATACCAAAAAATTAACTTACAAAAATCTTGCCATAGGCTTTCATAGCACTATGCAGATTCAAATGACTACTTTGGTATGTATGTCAAGAAGTTGTCTGCCTTTGCATCATCATTCATTAGCCCTTCCCTCTCCCTACCCTTTCTTTTCCATGGCATTAGAGCTATAAGGCAAAAAGGAGAAAAAGTTACCTTCCTCACATGAATAGCTACTCTCCATGTGCAAGAAGAAGCTTTACAGTAAAAACTGATAGCCCTGCCAAGCCAGAGAAATGGATGACCACTGATAAGCTGGGTGCTCCTGTGAATATTGTAAAGACACATATTGACAGTGTATTAGTGAAAAGCTGAGAGTTATGTGTGCTCTTTGATCCTCTCAAAGATATCGCTCACCCTTTTCTCTATGTCTGTCTTCAAAACTGTCACCTGAACAGCACCCTTCTCAGAGAATCAGAGTGAACTCGGCAGAAAGGAAGAGTCGAAGCACCATGATCTTGCACAGAGTGGGACACTGTTTCTGATAGTGTGCTGTTTTGGTTTGAAAGACAAATGTTTGCTAGGGAAGGCAGGAGCCTCTCTTGGAATGGAAAATATAAACTCTTTCTCATTAAATTATTATAATTTTTGAAATTAAGGGGCTCTCAGGCAAAGACATGAGAACAGAAATAACAGTTGTTTACTAGTATGTGTAATAAAGCAAACAACAACTCCTCTGTCATGAGCACAAACAGCCCAGGGCCCCAGTGACGCCTTCTCTGGGCCGCAGGCACTTTCCCCTCCGGTGCAGTTCCGGGCACAGCCGGCAGGGGGCGCTGGTGGCTCCCGGCCAGGCAGGGCGGGTGCGATGATTCCCCCGCGCCGGCAGGGGGCGCTGTGGCGCGGGCCCGGGGAGCACGCGGTGATGGCGGCTTTGTCCAAGATGGAAAGGGATGGGAGAGAGGCTTTGCTTCACAAACCCCGGGGACATCGATCCCAGTGTCCCAGCAGGACCCTGGGAAAGCAGCAAGCTGGGCCGGCAGGAATCAGCAAAAATCCCAGGGTGGTAGACGAGATGTATCAGGAGCTTGTGGTTGGAACCGCGGGATGTTTCGGCAGGCAGGGGCTGCTGGGGCCGCAGTGCAGCGAAAGCTCAGAGCAGCGCTGAAGAAGCAGTGGAGGCAGGACAGCAGCAGCCCAGCTCCCAACAGGGCAGGGAGAGGCCATCCCAAGATCCCGGGCACCCAAGCAGACAGGGAGAGGTCCCTCTTTTCGTGAGGTGGATGTTAGTAAGGTCCTAGTTCAGTGACTGCTCTCATGAGCAGAGGCTCACCCCACAGCTCTGGGCTGGGCTTTGGCAATAGCAGCGAATTCCCTTCCCCAAGCAGCAGCTCTGACCATCCTCCTCCAAAGCCGAGAGAGAGAGAGAGAACCCACAGCTGCCCAAACCCCATCCCTCACCTGCACACCTCACTCCTGTGGTATCTCTATCCCTCAGAGAGAAACTCTCCTAGCTGAGAGAAATGCAACCAGATGCTCTCCTTCCCTTGGAGCTTGGCTACTTTTTTGTTTTCATAAGTACCCAGTAGTCAGTGTTTCTTAGAAACTTATGTGAAAAATTCTCTAGGTGAAAAGGAACCTCACCCCCAACATGTGTACTTACGTGGGGAAGTGCTAGCAGGTTATGTGCAGGACAGCTGAATAGAAGCCAGAATGCAGGCAAGGTAGTAGGCAAGGCACTTAATCCATGGAACAAAAAAAGGCTGGAAAAACATGTTAGTGCCATTATCTCATTTAAACTTCCCTACCCTCCTACACTGAAGTTGAATAGCACTGTATCAATTTCTATTTACTGGATTTGACCCTACGCATTCATTTTGTCCTCTGCTTGTCTTCTTGCTTCAGGCTGATTCTTCAGTGTTTTCCAAGGTCTTCTAGTTCCCCATATCTCTTTAGAGGTTTCTGAGATCCAGTGTGTTTGACATTGTCCTGTTTCTGTTACTGAGACTGCTAATGCCCAGTTACCAAAATAAAATCAAACTTTTCATAAAAACACCGGAACACTGTAATTCTTATCCAAAATCTACCTAGGAGACATTTGGCAAAACCAGATTTAATCCCCTGTCATCCTTCATCTGCATAATGCTGACTGTTTATACAACTGCAGATCAGTTAAAATAATTCAGGTCATTCTGGGGAAAAAAATGTCCTCTCCCAGCTTCTCAGAATATGACTCCATCTAACATCATATATGGCAGATGAAGCACCACGAGCTTTGGTTTGTGAACTTGTTATGACTTCAGCACAACCACATAAAAGTCTTCAGATCAGTGTTTAAACAGCACAAAAACAATTTCTGTAACATGCCTCCAGGACAGAAAAGGCAGCATGGATGGACAGAACGCCTAGAAGCGGCAAAAAAAAAATAGCAAAACAATGGTAGGTTTTGACAGTCTTGCAACATGACATGTTTCACAACGCAGAATCATCCATACTGATTTTGGCACAAGAAAACCTGTAATATTAATATTATTTGAGTAAAATTTCAATCATAAAAGCACAATTTAATGGCAGATCATTTACAATGAAGCATTTTAATCTGAATTTAAGACATTGTAAAATTAATCAACTCAGAGTAACTCACAGTAAGTTTCCAAATGTAGGCACAATCCAGAGACCTCAGAACTGAGCACACTTTGAGATACATTTGTCCCTAACCCTTAACAGCCCTGTAACATTATTTATTAGTTTTACACTATCACACATTTCTAAGCAAACCAACAGACTCAAAAAGAAAATATTCAGAAAAGATTTCATGCTCAGATATGGCAAAGAGATGACATTTGTAACAGACACAATTACAGATCACAATTACAGTGTGCTAAGTACCTGCATAGGAACGAATCTGGGTTTTACTGCTGTATGTTCATGTAGTGCACTATGGTAGTGTTCATTTATCAGCCAATAAGTGGCTACTGCCATCTACTGGAAAAATTATTAAAATACAGAAATTACATTATACAGCCAGCAAGGGATCTGGAGTACAATATCCTTTCTGGAAATAAATTCTCAACATGTTATCGCATATAAAAACTGCTACAAGAATATTATTGGGGGCTGTTAGCTTAGATCCAGATACATTACAGGTACGAATGTATAAATGGAAGAAATTTATCTCAGCTCAATTTTGGAGCTGTTGTTAAAGTTTGCTTCTAAAATATCAAGTTTCATGCCCACAGTCTGCACCACAGAGTAGTGGGTGTGCTGTAGCAGTAGCAGCTGTGCTGACTTGACTTCTGACACTCAGATTCAAAATTTATAACTGAAATACTGCAGTATCACAAGTATCTTATGTTACAGTATTCCCAAATTTAAGTATTCCTTAATTTACAAATTGTATGACATTCATAAATTGGTTTCTTTCTGGCTGTAAGTGGAAATTTTCCAGCTGTCAATCTTACACATAAGAACCTGATTTTTAATTTTCAGTTTTATTTTTTTTTCAAGATACACTTTCCATTCTCTGATCAGGTTTTTAACCAGGACTTTGGTTTTGCTTGAGTGAGAAAAACAACAACCAAGCATCCTGACATGGCACTGTCTGATAACTAACTGGAACAAAGGAGCAGCATCTGCTGAGTAACCACCACTGCTTGCCACAGTATTTAAGATATTTAGAGATTTCCTCACAAAGGTCCAATCCTGCCTGATCTTTATTCATTATCTAATAAGCACCAGAAACACCATAAGGTTAAATGCAGTGGTATGAAATTATTTCATTTGCAAAACAAAAGACACAGACCTCAGCATGCCACTCAGAGTTCAGATAACAGATTTAAAGCAGCACAGCTTCAGTTAAGGCAGTGTTGACAGGCAGAATGTATTAACACTCCTGGTAGTGATGCCAACATTGAGCTAAGCATGGTGTCCTGTTGGCTTGGATGTGAGCGCACAACTTGAGCAGACGTCAGAAAAACACCTCTCTCACATGGAAGATGAGACTTCCACTACTCACAAATCACTGTGTCTGTGTTTGCTAGATGGTAGATGCAGCAGCTCTGCACAGTAGAATGGTGACACTTATATGAAGGAACAGAAATTGCATTTATTTGAACCTACTTTGGATTTCTTGATAGTTGCACAACACAGGATACCTGTAAAACGTTATTACTGAGATTTAAGAAATTAATAGATGTGACTTTACTTTTCAAATGTCAAAGTTTTACAAGAGAAGAATAGTGGTCATCAAGTCCAGATTCCTATGTTTGCAACACAAAATCCTTGCCACAAGGACCACGTGATCCAAGCATCTGTAGGGTAACTGATTTTAGGGTGACGCTTGTTTCTAACCACCTATTTCACAATTTCAGTAAGAAACATTTTCCCTTCCCATTCTATCTTGAAGCAATATGGCACAAAATGTCTTGTGACCTGCTTTAGTTTCTTATAAATAGCCTTAATTAGCCTACAACTTCTGTCAAATCACTTCAAAAGGGGAGTAATAACTGTGGTATGCTGCTGATTTGGATAACCAGCTCCTTTGGATTTTATCTCGTAGAAATATTTAGAAAAATAAGTGTTAAAATACTCCAGTTATACCACTGCTTTCTGGTTATTTACACTTCACTCTTCAGAATGTATTTAGTCCTTTAAGCAATTAATCAATTCTGAATCACATTCAATGTATATAGAATTTCAGCAGTTATCAAAGTAAAGTATAATCTCTGGCAGGCAACTGAAATTACCAAAGAACTCAAGAGAGAAAACAACAATTAAAAATATAAGGATTTTATTGATTTATATTTACATACATATACACATGCATATACATATAAAATATATATGTACATACTAGAACTGGTCAGAATTTAATAGAAATTGGTGAATTCTTGTTTCCTGTATGATTTGAGTAATGAAATTTGGATTTTTAAGAAGAATTAGGCACACAAAACTTATAGAAATTTTTAAAAAATAGAAAAATTAAGGGAAAAAAACATCCAACTTTGATTTTTGACTAATTCTTTACCACACTGGAGAATACAGATCTGAACTGAGAATCAGTCCCTAGCATTGTGGATTTATTTTCTCTCTAGAAACCAAACACAACACAGTAAGATATACACTTGGCTTTGCAACTGGAAGTAGATTTTAGATTTCTGAAATGTCTTCCCAAGTCTCTAAATTATTTTTGGCACTGTATCATTGACCTGCAAAACCATCCCTTTTTATTGAAATGAAGGCTTGTATCAGTTGAGTCAAGGAAATAGACTGGTACTTAAATGAGGAAAGAACAAGAGAGCTGTGGTTTAGTTTAGCAGAGAAGGCTCAAGGGAGACCTTATCAAGTGTTTATGTATATCTGAATGGTATATACAATAACAGAATCATGGAATGGTTTGGGTTGGCTGGGACCTTAAAGATCCCCTGGTTCCAACCCCAGTGCCTTGGGCAGGGATACCACCCACAAGATCAAGTTTCACAGGGCCCCACCCAATCTGGCCTCCAACACTTCCAGCAATGGGGCATTCACAACTTCTGTGAGCAGCCTACTCTAGTGCTTTATCACTCTTTGAGTAAGGAATTTCTTCCTAACTTCTTGTCCTCTAAACTTGTCCTCTTTTAGTCTAAAGCCTCTGTCCCTTGTCCTGTTACTGGCTGCCTGTACAGAATCTCAGAATCATATAACCATAGAATGATTTGGGTTGAATGGAACCTTCAGAGATCCAATACCACTCTGCCAATGGAAGAGTCTCTTTTACCAGATCTGGCTGTTCAAGTCTTGTCTTTATCTTTCTTATTACCCCCTTTATATATTGAAAGGCTACAATAAGGTTTCCCTGGAACTTTTTCTTCTCCAGGCTGAACAACTTCTTTCAGCTCTTTTTTTTCTTCTTTTTCCACAGAAGAGGTGTTCCATCCTCCCTCTAATAATTTTCATGCCCTCTTCTAGACCTGCTCCAACAGATCCATGTCTCTCTTGTATTGAGGACTCCAGAAGTGGGGTCTTATGAGACCAGAGCAGAGGGGCAGAACCACACCTTCAACCTGCTGGCCATGCTGCTTTTGATGCAGACAAAGATATGGTTGACTTTCTGGCCTGCAAGTGCACATTGCTGGGTCATGTCAAAGTTTTCATGTACCTCAAATTTATCCTCAAATCTTTCTTCACAGGCCTGCTCTCAATCCCCTTATACTCCAGTCTGTGTTGATATTGGGGAACGCCCACACCAAGTTGTGGGACTTGGCTTTGTTGAACTTCATGAGGTTCACAGAGGCCCACTAGCTCAAGCGTGTCAGAGTACCTCTATTTGGCATCCCTTCCCTCCTGCATCACCTGCACCACTCAGCTTGGTGTCATCTGCAAACCTGGTGAGTGAGAATCGCATTGCATATAAAGCTGCAGCCAGACTCTCCTCAGTGGTATCCAGTGGATGGACAACAGGCAATGGGCATAAACTGAAATTCAGGAAATACGATTTAAACATAAGAAAAAAACCCCATTGCTATGGTCAAACACTGGATAAGGGTGCACAAAGAGGCTATGGAGTTTTCATCCTTGGAGATGTTCAGAAATGACCAAACAAGGTATTAAGGAATTTGCTTTAGCCAGCCATGCCTGGAACTAGGGGGCATGGGGAGATCCCTTCCATGACATCCAAGAAACAGCCTCACATAAAGCAAGAACTGGCTCCTAATCTGGTATGGCAAACCTCAGAAACAGACATAAGAGTGAATTCCATTCACTTACACAATCCTCAAAGTTGCTACACTTTATAGCATAATTTTATGATTATGTAGTGTCAGATATTTTTAGGTGTCCTTAATCTTCCTGTCTTTCTTTTTCCAACCCATACTGGTAATTGTTTCCTGGAACATGAGATGTCTGATCAAAAATGTTTTAATGAGTTTGAAACCAAGGTAACACATTTGTTTTAATGCCAGTATTTTCAATCCATAGATTTTTTCAGAAACGTTGTGTAGACTTTTTAAACTTTACCTAGTATCTTCCAATGCTCTCTTTTTCATCTGGTCAATAAATTTGGGGTTAGGATTTTCTTAATTTTTCCTCTAAATTAGACTCTTAAGAGAAAAATGTACTCTTTTATCTTGAATACTGTGTATTTTCTAGCTTTACTATCACTCCATTCAGAAATTGTTTTCCTGTAGGCCTTCCACGGGAAGAAATTCTTTGGGGCACATTTTTCAAAGGCAAAAACAGCAGATAAGAAATCAATCATCAAGAAAAGATATTGTCCATTGGGTCCCACTTTCTAGCAATGCATTTGGAAATTTCCTTGAATACACTTGCATGAGATCTGCAAAAGAATGTTAGAATAACAGACAGAGATTAATTTCTAATGGCTATGCATTATTCTTGACAGCTGAACAAATAGAGCACACTGGAAATCAGCACTTCATGAACAGCAGCAGTCCCGAGCAGAGGGAACATGAGCACAAACAACAGCCAGTTTTGGGGCCAAAATAATTGACATTAGAATGAGACATTCAGATGGTGAAAATTCTGGTACTTAGTACTGTGTTTGAGTCACTTCATTTGCAATATAATGAATCTGTTCCTATTTTGTCATAATTTATTTAAAGTAGGTAATATATTGACTGCAATAAAAATTTCTGACACAATCTATACTGCTCTGACAAATTTAGCATTTAGCACCTTGTTCAGGACTGTGTATGCTTGCAAAAGGACATCTCCACTATGAAAAAAAAAAATCCTCCCAATGCATGGAAATACATTACAATGTCTGTTTTAACATAATGAGTTCTCCTTGGCTGGTATGTGTTTGTTGGAGAAATCCTACTAAAGATAATATAAACAGTCCCAGACATTATCATCCTAAAGCTATATTTAAAGAGAAATTTTTGAACACTGGCAGAACATCAAAATACTTCCGCCTGTGCTTCCTTCACAGAGTAACAAGCAATAATTTATTTTAAAATTTACATTATTTGTACAGTTATGATTAACGAAAAAATCCCACTGAACAGAACATGGATTAGACACATTAACCCTTCAGTACATGAGCAGAATGCAATTTCTACACAAATGCAGGAGACTTTTTTCCTGAGTCAACCTAAAAAAAAAGAACTCAGCACAAAACCATTTTATTTTCTTGTGAATCTTGTTTTTCCTATCAACGACTTCAAACAGCTACTCAAAATCCTCTTTTGACTGTTTAATTGCAGGGACTTCTTAGCAGATTTATATGGATTGGGGTTTGTTTTTAATACGAATTTAAAGGATTTGGATGTCAAACAGATTTTGGGAAAATAACATTTCATTTTCCTCTGGTTAATGTCCAGTTGAAGGCGCTCTGGGAACTAACTGGACTGCTTTAAACTTGCAAGAGTAGCTTTTAACAAACTTTTATTGCAAAATTCTTTAATGGTAGAAATAAGTTACTATTCTCTCTATTTCTAAACAATATTATTTTCTAAAACATGAATAACCTGAAAATTTATTAGTAGTTGCATCCATTACTATGATGAACCATAGAAACATTGAACATGAAAAAAAAATGTTTGCTTAGAATTTCCACTGATGAAAAATAGTTCAGATGGGCTACATTACATGATCAAGTATTGCTCAAAATCAGGACATCTGCAGAGGAAAATGGTGCTGACTACCATACCCAATATACTTGGTATATTCACTTATAGCCATTACTTTATAAAACCTTTTCCTCTCATTCTTGGTAAAATTAGTATGGTTAGAATGGGAAAAAAAATACACCTAAATTTAGGGTGAATGGGAAATGCACACAGTAAATACTTCCTTTTACATCTACTTTAATACTTACAGAACTTGAATTGAGAAAAGCATTAGACTAAAATCTGGACAAAACTTTTGACAGATCTATGCCAAATGCCTCCTGTCTGACTTAGTTAGGACAGACAGTGGTCTAAAACTGTCATCCAATCTCTGAAAGTTTTCCTTGACCATAAGAAAATAGAAAAAATCCTTCCCAGATCTATTAGCAAAAAAGTGTCGGATTGGTTGCTTTGAAGATGATAACATGAGAAAAAACCTGACTCTACTTTTAAAAGTTATTTTAAAGGCAATTATATTAATTGACCTGCTGCTTTTCAACTTTCACCTTTCAGCTTTTGTTTTACACTCTAATCTCAAAGTAACTGATAATGGCTTTAATAGATTGATGAGTATATTCTGTTAGAAATAAAACACTATCCAATTTCCAAAAACAGAACAAGAATTGAAAAAAGCCTACATGGACAGACAGCCATATATTATCGTGGTGACAAAATTAGGCCCTAAACAGCTAACATAAAGAATGACAGGTGGCCTAAAGTAGATCAAATAAAAAAGGTAAGATCTTTGAGCTACAAAAAGGAAAATTATGTTTACTATGAAAAATGAAATTCAGGAAAACATCTTTAAAAAACATCTCCTACTAAGCAGAAAGAACGCTTGGTGACCGGATGTGAGGAAATGACATAAAGCTGAGTCAGGGGAAGCTCAGATTGAGTATTAGAAAAGAGACTGTCACTGTGAGAGTGGCCAAGCACTGGCACAGGCTCCCCAGGGAGGTGGTCATGGCCCCAAGCTGTCAGTGCTCAACGTTTCGACAGCACTCTGACGCTGTTCAGCTTTTAGGCTGCTTTGTGTGGAGTCGGGAGCTGGACTTGACAATCATTGTAGGTTCCTTCCAAATCAAGATGTCCAATGATTCTGTGGGTTTGGATTCGCTGGACAGGAATTTCAAGTGACATGAGTATAATCCAAATAAAGGTGCTATTTAATGTATAGGAATTCAGAGAAAAAAGCACCCAAGTCAGATGTTTAACAAACACAATGATGGATATTAATGCTGCAACTACTTTGCTCTTTGAGTCGCTTTTCTTCCTTCTTCCTAACATCCCTTAAAAATCATAACCAGCCAAAGATACACTATATAAACTGCATTTCAAGTTATAGAGAAATGTAGTAATATCACAACTGCACATTAGCATAACTACATACGTCCTGGCCCTCTGTCCAGATTCACGGTACCTGTACAGATTTTACACTTACCAGTTCTTAAGGCAGAAGATAATGTGAAAAGATCAGATCTTGTGAGGAGCTTTGGTTTCTTTTCTCTTTAAGAAATTCACCACTACTCAGAATCAGGCTTTTTATCTGCTCTTTATAATTTATCAGTTCCCTTTAAACCAACAGAATGACTCCCTGTTTATACTGAAAGGAAATATATCGGAGGCATAGTCAACATGATGTAAATATTTTGGGAAGATCAACAGAGATAAAACCAGTTAGACAATCAGTACTCAACAGATCTTGTCTTTATATAATTTTTGTAAAAGGCTGGCAGTACAGGCAGGTAAAAAGACAAGACACTTTCAAGGTTGAAGATAGTAATGCAACATGGTTATGGTTTAGAGGATGTTAAGGACTTGTTCACAAACCCTGGGTATAAGTTTGGTATTTTAAACTGAAACTTTGTAAAAACTGATCAGCTGCATTCACAGACCATACACATATTACAGCTCAAGATGTTTAAAAAAATGCAGGAAGGCCATGAAGCTAAAACACATTTTATTTTCTGTCATAACACAATTCTACACCAGAATGTAATTACTTTCTCATCACTGTTATAAATACATATAATATTGGCTTTTCGCAAGTATTGAGATGAATGCTATATGCATAATATTAAAATGGCTTTGCTGTAATAGTCGATATAGCATGTTTGAACTGTCTGCTTAGTTAGGATAACATTCAATGAACAGATGATGGGGACTCTGCTGATTATCAACACTCACTGTCTGTGGAAAAAAGAAACCAAGGTCCAAATTAAAAGATGATAAAAAGAAGATTAAAACCACAAGCCAAGAAACATGCATGCTCTAAAAAAGGTGGACCCAAGGAGTGGCCATGCTAAAAAGTTCCTGGAAAATGTAAACTAGTTAATAGAAAAGTTTGAATATGCATAAAGGTCTATGAACATGCATCAAGTTGATGCAATAGAAATGGTATTAAAGGGTGTTTCCAAAACACCAGGTGTGTTCTTGGCAGAACGCCCAAGCATACGGCCGTTTTAACCCTTTGCTTTATGGTCTTTGCCTCCTATTGTCTTTTTTATTGAATCTTTTTAAATTTACCAGGAAAGTGAACGTCGTTTTTCACATCACCAACAAATGAAACATTTCAAGTGCAGAGCTGACAAGGGGCTAGCAGCGCTGCACGCACGGGTGCCCAAAGGAGGGCAAGTGCAGGGATTCCTCACCGGCTGGCAGCGCCTGAAGTTTGCTGCTGGGGTGGAAGCGCAGTCCCAGTGGCGGCAGTCCCCATAGGCGCAGACCCGCCCGGTCTCGCTTGCCGCCCGTCCCGGCCCCGCAGCCCCGCCGTGCCCGCGCAGGGCCGGGAGGGGAAGCAGGGAAGCAGGGAAGCAGGGAAGCAGGGAAGCAGAGAAGCAGGGAAGCAGGGAAGCAGGGAAGCAGGGAAGCAGGGAAGCAGGGAAGCAGGGAAGCAGAGAAGCAGGGAAGCAGGGAAGCAGGGAAGCAGGGAAGCAGGGAAGCAGGGAAGCAGGGAAGCAGAGAAGCAGGGAAGCAGGGAAGCAGGGAAGCAGGGAAGCAGGGAAGCAGGGAAGCAGGGAAGCAGAGAAGCAGGGAAGCAGGGAAGCAGGGAAGCAGGGAAGCAGGGAGCGGCCGTGGGAGATGCGGTGTGCCCCGCCACAGCCCCTCGCAGCGGGCAGAGCCAGAGACGAGTACGGGCTGCTCTCGCTCGCTGCAAACCTGAGCGACCGCAGTTACTGTAATGCGGGAAAATTTAACTGGTGGCACTGCCCTGACCACCAATTGGTGCATTGATCAAATGACACCGTCGTGGTTAATGTCAGAAGACCAATTAACCCGCGTTTGGAGTTTTGGCACTACAGATTAACTGTCCTCTCTGAATATTTAATCATAAGCTCTCTGCTGTGTTTTGCCTACAAATGCAGCCAGTAAAACGTGTTCCCAAGCAAAAGGAAATGCATAGTGTTTTGCTGGTCAAGAGTCATCCGGGAAAAAAATCCAACCACACCACAAGAACAAACTGATTTTTAGCTGCTGTGTACAAAATAAACCAGAATAGCTATAGCTTGCTGATTCATTAAGTCCCTTGTCATCTTACAGTTTAGATGGTAGTTTGTTTTGTGTGCTCTAGGCATATAAATCTCTACAAAATCAGAATGTGTAACTTCAGATGTATGTATATCACATAAAAGTACTGAAGGAGAGAAACATGCTCTTAAATTTGATTTCTTAATATGCTTAATTAAAAGGTGGTTGATATATGGGG